TCACAGGGGATGGTCATTTAAGAAGGGGGATGATTTTAAAGATTTTTTTTAAGAAGGGGGATGCCATCCCATTTCCGAGTACTGGACATTAGTCGTTGCCATGTGGCCAAGTTGTTCAATAGGACGTGTTCTCATATCAGTTTCGGATTCTTTCTCATAATAGTAATTCAACCTTAAATAGCTATTCCATAATCAGTGTGAAGAGAATCAAGACTCTCTTGTTTTTAAAGTAATCAACATAGCTGTCATTTTTTGTGGCATTTTTATACTGAAGCTCTTTACAGGTGGTGTAGGATTTTTTCTATTAACATATCAGGTGATTTCTGAAAGTTAAAATTACTCTGAAAGTTACAGCGATATGTACCGATATTAGAAAATTTTAATTTGCATTTTTGAATACTTAAGTATTTTCAAAAGTGGGTACTACAACATTTTAACTTGAGTAGATATTTTACTAACATTTACTTCTAGTTGAGTAAGACTTCATTATAAGTATCAATACTTTTACTCAAGTACTACAGTTGAGTACTTTATCCACCACTGTTGTTCTTTCACATTTGTATCTGACTTGTTTGCATCATCAGTAGAGAAGCCACCAACCACCACTAGATGGTGCTGCAGAGCCAGTGGTTGAAAAGGATTCTTTTAAGAGGATATTATACCTTATCTGCTTAAAATTCACTTTAATTTAAAAAATAAAGTAGAATAAACAGATCTGCAAATTTTGACAAGTTCAATTAATATCTGCCTTTAGAAAAAAAACAAAAAAACAATTCATGTATAAAGTTTTTAATCATGAAAATGTGACCGGATAAAATAATTTATTCTTAAAACAATTGGTCAAAACCAATTCCAGAACTACAGCCGTTTTATATCTTTTTTGCAGAAAATTGTAAACGTAATATTCTTTCAAAATAACCAACAGTATATAAATCCATTTCATAGCACCCTTTATTTACATAACTTGTCAGACCTCAGTGGTGGTCGTATCATGGTTTGCAACATACAGGCTAGGATATTATATATATGGTTTGTTGTAAGGAAACAAAATACTTGAAATAAATCAATTTAGCTGCAATAATGTTATTTATTTTACAAAGTAGTTGATCAAACTTTGATGGTTTGAGTATGTTCAGAAGAAATTGAACACTCAAGCTGTAATATTGTGTATTTTTACATTAAGTTCTGTCATCAAGAGTCCATGACTTTAATCACACACAGGGCACATCGGTGGATCAGTTCTGTTTGAGGCAGAAATGTCCAGATGAAGCAGGACATCAAAGGCTTCACTGCTTCCCTGGTTTTCCTCTTCTCTTCCCTCCTCCAGCTTTTCCTCCTTTTCCTTTGCCCCCCTTCCCTCCTCCAGCTTTTCCTCCCTTTCCTTTGCCCCCCTTCCCTGGCATTTTGCGCCCCTTCCTCCTCCTGGCTGCAGCCTCCTCTCTGTCCTCCTCCCTCATCTGTGTGTTCACAGCCTTGGTGAGGTCCAGCTTGGGCGTCTTGTTGCCCATCACCTGCAGCAGCTCCAGCTGCTTCTGCTTCTCGCTGGAGAAGTCCCCGATCAGGGGGTCGAACTTCCTCTTCTTGCCTGAGTTCTTGGGGGGTTTCTCTTTGGGCAGGGAGTCTTGGAACCTCCCCACGGACGCCGTGGAAGTCTTAGCCACGCTCACGGCTTTGAGCAGCTCGTCTTTAGACTGCTGCGCTTTGGGAAGCAGCCCCACTCCGGGAGTTTTGATTTTCATCGCTCTGGCGATGTTTTTCAGCCGGTTAAACTCGTTTTTGGCCACGCGCTCCTTCTTGGCCTTGTTCCGTTTGGCGAACTGGTCCTCGTTGGGGTCTGAGGAGCCCGGGACCTCGATCAGCCATTCCTTGGTGTCATCGTTGGCCCGTTTGTAGCCCCAGCGCCTCCTCCACTCCTTGGCAGTTTCATCCCAAACCAGATTAGTCTTCTTCTTCTTCTGAATACCTTTGAGCTTGGCGAACTGTTCCCACCTGGTTGGGGGTCTGGGCTTCGGTGGGGGCTTCTCTCTGGGCAGTCGGGTGGTCTGCTCCGGTAGTTTGGCCACCAGGACCTCCTCGTTCCTCTCCGTGGGTAGCTTCCATATTTCGTTGATGAGAAGCTGCGTGTTGTCCCGAGCCAATGATCGGAGGAAGTCCTCTTTCCCCCTCTCCCTAAAGTCTCTGGACTCAATGCGGTTTTTGTCACAAGCTAGGAGGTTCCCAACGTCAAACTCCAGATCCAGCTCCTTCTCGACGGAGATGCTTTTTAGTTTTTCAGCCTCTTCTTGTTCAGCTTTGGCTAAGAGCTCCTCCACACTGCAGGCAGCCATGATGGACAGAGCTGCACGTGTGTCGCAGCAAAAACACCCCAGAATGATTTATTTCCGGGTCATCCCCTTCTTCTTCTTCGTTAGATTCTTCTTCTTGGATTTATTGGCGGTTGGCAACAAACATTTGGTAGCATTACCACTACTTACTGCTATGGGGTGTGGTTCGTGATGGACTATCTACTTAATAAACATATATATAATTTCTAAGACAAACAAAACAAAAACTACATCTCTTTGTTAGATTGGTGGATTGCAACAGCTTACAGGTGCATACCGCCCCCTACAGTACAGGAGTGTGTAGCTCTATAGTTCCACCTATATTCTATTTTTTATTTTTGTGTTATGTAAAAATAAAAACAATGCTTTATTAATAACCACATTTTCCTCCCTATTTCCAGCTGTCCCTAAAATTCCTTTAACAATCCATTCTCACCCTTTTAAAGTAGATTAAGCAGATCTGCAAATTTCAACATTCTCACCCTTTTCCATAATTATTTTCCTCATCCTCTCTTTCAGTTGCATATTTAATGCAATCCATCAAAACATGATCAACATTTTCTTTTCTTTCACAACTCTCACATATGTCATTATTTCTCTTCCCTAGTACAAAAAAAAAACTCATTCAAGTAGGTATGCCCAGTTCTTAATCTAGTATAAATGATCTCTTCCCTTCTGCTTCTTTCTCCATAATTTTGAACAATTACAGATTTTTGAACCCTATATAATCTTCCTTTCTCATCTTCATCCCATCATTTTTTGCCATTATTCTGTTTCTTTCTTTTTAATTATTTATTTACCTTTCTCAAATAGAATCAGATCTATATTTTGCTTTCCTAAAGCCCTTTTAGCTATCTTGTCTGCTATTACATTTCCCCTTACCCCTTTGTGTGCTGGACCCAACAGAACATCTATTCCATACCTAAATAACCTGAACAAACTCTGATGAATTTCTAATGCAATTTTTTTCCTATTATTTCCTCCTGAATGAATGCTTTCTGTTGCAGCTTTATAATCTGTGCAAATCACCACCCTATCCAGTCTAACCTCCTCCACCCACTGTAAATTAATAATAATTGCTACCATTTCTGCTGTGTATACAGATAAAATTTCTGTTAATCTTTTACATATACATATATTATACTCTGGAATGAATATCCCTATTCCCAAATTTCCCTTTGAATTTTTTAACCATCTGTGTAAATTTTTAAATAACTATAATACAGTCATGTTCTTTTTCTTGCTGGATTTATTGGTGGTTGGCAACAAACATTTAGTAGCATTATCGCCACTAACTGGTATGGAGTGTGGTTCGTGATGGACTATTTACTTTATAAACATTTATATAATATCTATATAACAAAAAAAAAAAAAAAAAACTACATACTTAAACATAGCTTTGTATTATACCCGGCTATATCATACACAAATTCACCCTCTCTATCATCAAATTCTAAGAAATAATTTGGTTTTCTTTAAAAATCGAATAATTATTTGCAAGCATTTACTCCCCAAATTCTTCCTCAAAATATCTAATAATTAATCTTTTTCTTAATACATCCAAACTCTCTCCTCATATGTCTTCTCTTGCATTCATATTTATAACATTCCGTATAAGATATTCTATTGTTTCATATTTTCCACAGTAATCACATTTGCCAATAGTATGATTTTGAATTTTGAAAAGTGTTTAATTAAGTCCTGTATGCCCAAATCCTAACCTTGTTATCACTGTCTCCTCCTTTCTATTTCGTCTTCCATTTCTTCTTTCCCCTACTATCTTCTGAGTTTTATAAAACCATCCTTCTGTTATTTCTTCATCCCATCTTTTTTGCTATTTTTCCATAAATGTTTGTTTAATAATACTCTTTCCCTCTGATTTACTTGTGTTAACTGTAAAACTAATAGGTTTTTCAATTGCCCTCTTTGGCATTTTATCTGCCCTCTGGTTTCCTTCTACTCCAATATGTGCTGGAACCACACAAATACAACAATCAAACCCATATTTTTTATTCTGAATAATGAATGAAATATTTCTAATAGGATGTTCATCCTACTATCTGATTGATTATATTCTAAACTTAATAATGCAGAACTTGATTCCGTGTCATGTGGGAGGAGGATGTGCCTTTCATGGCAACAAGGTGGCAGTGTTTGATTAAATGTTGGGGGCTCTGTCAGATTGAGAACATTTATCAGTTTCTCCCACTTAAATACAATTTAAGTGGGAGAAACATTAATTCATTACATCTTTACTAAAGTAAAAGTAAAAAGTATCCCTTAAAGAAATGACCCAATTAAGAGCAGAGGTGTTGAGTAAAGAAGTACAAATACTTTGTTAATGTACTTAAGTACACTTTTTAGGTGTCTATACTTTACTCCTTTACTTTACTCATTAGATTTTCACAAGTATCTGTACTTTCTATTCGTTACATTTTTAAAACAAACCTTACTCGTTACTCTTGGCTTCGGTTTTATGTTTATAAATATTTATTTCACGCCATGTGCGCCATCCAATCTTGATCATTAGCGCCATCCACATCTAGTAAAAACTAGTGCAACTGGATGAGTCATATAATGCAAACACTCGTTGGTTAGTTAAAGGAAATCATCAAAAGCAAGCAGGTGTTGAAATGTGTGTACTTTTGACACCACTGATTAAGAATGAAGAGTATTTGGTAAAAAGGCTCTTTAAGTACTCAGTAGCCTTATCTGCTTACTTACTATCTATAATCACAACCACTGATTTTATATGTTACCACAAAATGATGTAAAATTGAACAAATTGTCAGGTGATATGCAACGCCTGGTTAAAAATAAACGTATAACATAGAGTAATGACAATAAAAATTAGGGTGGAGTGAACGCTCTTAAAATTCATTTTTTGAGCTATAAAACTTACAAAATCAATTGCTACAGTATGAAGGAATAGGGTAAATTACAGTATATAATTTAAAGGCCAAGGAAACCCAGTCGGCCTCGGCAGATGGCCGCTCATACTGAGCCTTGTTCTGCTGGAGGTTTCTTCCTGTTAAAAGGAATGGGCTCCTGTTTTTCCTCTCCACTGTCGCAACAAGTATGCTTAGTGTGAGGGATTGCATTCGAGTCAATGAGTAAATATAACTAATTACTAGCCACCGCTGGATTTAATGACACATATACAGTATATATGGAATATACATAGGGAATAAGGTGGGAAGGACAGACAGTTTTAAATAAGGAAATTAAACTGAATTAGAGGAAAGGAGTTGAAAAACAGTAAACCTTTGAATGAAGCAATTTTACTAGAAAGTTGGAGAGACATAATGAATGAGGGAGGAAGGTGAGGGGCATGAGTGGTTCTAAGGGCCAACAGGTAGAACAGGTCCTCGCCCCTCTTAGGGCCCCGGCACTAAACACATACCCTGTAAAATTTGACATCTAAGGGTAAAAATTACTCATAAAAAATACTTTGGCCCTTTTTTTGCTTTGTGTGTTTGTTATTAAGTTTTCTGTGACCTAATGGATATAACACTAGACCCACCTTGGTAATTTTCATCTAGAACTGCAGGGAGAAAAAAAAAATCAGGTGAAAGGATACAGGAAATGAAAGATGACAAGACGAAAATAATGAAGTGATTAGAGGAAAGAAGGAAGGGAAGAACAAGAAAAATGAATGATATTAGGAGGCAGAAAGGAAGGAGAGGAGGGGGAGGTGTGAGAAGAATGAGGTAAGGTAAAAGTAAAGGAAAGGCTAAAGAATGAAAGAAAGTTAAGATAAGGTAAGGGAGGATGGATGGATGGCAGAGATTAATGACAAAGAAAATAATTGCACAAAAGAAAAGAGCAATGGATGATACTTGGAAATAAAGTATAATAAATATATAAATATAACTTTTAGAAAAATTGAAAGGCCAATAACTTACATAAATATTTCTATAAACATTTTTTCCCTATAGTCTTCTTCTTCTTCCATCTTCTCTAGGTCTGGAAATTTTTTTTTTTATTCTGCGCGTTTTCTGTGTGTTTTCTAGTGAATTTTCCATATTGTAAACTTTACGAGTAGATATATAAATTGATAATTTAACTAACAAGTATGTAAAAACATGTCAGAGTTTACTCCAACTATTGTAGCACCTACAGCCGAAATATAGACAGGAATTTTTTTATAAATTCAATTAGTTCCCATTTCCTGATATAAAAATAGAGTACACAACATTAAAACATCATGCTGCAGCACAGCACTTATACAAATATCAAGTACTACTAAATTAATAGAGAAAAGCTATGAAAAGGATCAAACTATCACATTTTTTTTTTGTAAAAAAGATTTCTTGAGTTCTTTGGCTTTAATCCATCTGGATCCTCATCATTATACAACTTTATAAAAATCTGTCCTGATTCATCTGCTTTAAAACTAGTAGAAGTTCAGATAAAGAACACCGTGCATGCAGTGATGGTGGAGGTATTGTGAGGGTTTGGGGCAGATTTCAATTCTTTGTACCTGGATACTTGTGACATAATTGGTGGCACCATGAATTCTGTTTACTAACAGAAACCTGGCTATGAGGCAATGTCATTCAGCTGAAGTATGCATAGGTTTTACAGCAGAAGAATGATTTTAAGCAAACAAGGAAGTCTTCCTCTAAATGGAAAATCTAAATGACAGTTTTAGAGTGGCCTATTCAAAGTTTGGATCTACAGTACATCTAATTAAGATACTGTGGTGTAACCTTAAATTGGCCGTTCATCTTTAAAAACCCTCTAACAGTGTCTAGGGGAATAAAACCCCTCCATAACAACTCACTGGAGGTTATCACAAACACTCGATGGGGGCAAAAACTTTTCAAAGTAAGACTTCAACAGGACATACAATAAACTGTTGTTCATATCATCACAATCATTTTAAAAGTAAAACATTCTATTCTATTATTTTATCTAAAGTTGTATCATCTAAAAGACTCCAGCACTCAACTGATGTCTTCATTATTGTCCTGTATGTTCCTGTGCTCTGATAACGCCAGCACATAATTTTTATTTAAGTCTCCGGAGCTGT